CCCCCCCAACCCCACCAAAAAAAAAAAAAAAAAAAGCAGAGGGGGGAGTGAGAGAGAGAGAATTTTACCTCCAAAGGCAGCACCAACTCCAGAAAACAATACTAGTGGGGGAACCTGGTACATTGTAAATGTATGTTAAGTCATTGCATCATAATATCACTTATAATGCTGACAAAAAAAAAAGGTTCATTACAATATACATGATATAAAAAAGGAGCGTTTGTCATTAGACCATTTGCATAGGCAAACCATTTGCATAGGCAAATCAAAGGTTATAGCAGAAGCTCAAAATGAAAATCAAAAGTACAAAATACCAACCTCAGTATGAATCTTAGGAAAGAAGATAGGGATGATATCACATATTGTCCAAGGCCCGCATTATATCAACAAAAACACAAATTTTAAAATGCTAATCTTCATTATATTCTTTCAGCTAACCCCAACCCTTTCTCATATAGGATATGTTTATAGGTTACTCAGGTCCAGAAATGATCATATCAAAATCCAATTCCACAAGATTTATGGTTCCAGTATTGCAGTAAAAACCCATACATTGTCAAATGGTTTGATTGAATAATATGATTCGGTGTCATTTATTGTCCACACATGGAAACGCTGGAGCATTAAAACCATGTGCTGCGTTTTAAGATGGATAACTATGTTCAATATTATTTTAGCTTGACAAAGATTCCGACAACTTACAACATTTGGGTAAATGGTTCTTGACATGGTAGCCATAGCACCAGATTTCAAGAGATTCTGGATTCAAACCTAATACTTTCCAAATTTATGATATGTTATTTACCTTGTATGCTGCTAAGCTTTTACAACTAAGTTAAAAGCTGAGGGCACGTGGTCTAAAATCCAACATGAGGAACATGTTAAGTATCTCAATGTACACTTTTAGCTTATAATGCAACAACATAAAGGTTGAAGTGGCTGTAGACAAACTTAAGACAGTCGACCTAAGTCATACGAAAATCTGTGGCATGTCAACCAACAAAAAAGAGAGTTCAGTAATCAATTGCCTCTAAAATGGTGTTAGTAATTAGAATATATCAAACGGAGCAATTGAATCCAAAGTTATATTTAGAAGTATGGTTTGAACTCCTGCAGCATAACGCACAAGTATCTCTGGGATAGAAGATAAAGCCTACATCTTGTTTTACCTTATCAAAAGGAAAAGGTCTCTTGACATAAATATCTTACTCCAAGTCTCACGTATGCAATGCATTCTGACCACTATCAAAATAGTTGACCAACTTACCTTCCTTATATTCTTCACAAGCTTTCATCTCATTCCTGTTCTTAACCCGATGATCCAGATAACCAAGGAATCTCTCACCTAACTAACTCTTCAGCCATCTCCCTTCCATAACTTTCATTCATCAGATCCTCATGGAATCTACTAGTCCAGAATGGTTGCTAGACAAACAATTTAAATTCCACTTAAATTAGAATCTCTACACTATCGACTAAACAAAAGACCCAAGAAGGCTCAAATAAGATTAACATATAATCCAAATCTCCAGCCACCAAATTGATTCTTGCAAGTCACTGCATTTGCAGTTACATTCCCCATGGCAGATTGCCCAAAGGGTTCCTTAACAACAGCAGCAACAAGAAAAAGGCTTGTGTACTTTAAGATATGCATATTTCAAGGCATAAAATTTTGACATGGGCTTATGTGGTTATGAAATATATAGATATTGCAGGGAGAATCAGTGAAAGATGAGGTGACTATAAAATGACTGAGTCAAGGGATCAAATATACTCGAAGAAATTAAGTTACTCAAATATATTAAGTTTTCTGCAACTTCTAGGTCAAAGAAAGTAAAGCCAAAAACCCCATGCCAATATTGGAGAGATAAAAACAGGTAAGCAAAGACATGGAGGAGAGATGTGCAAAGAATTGTAGTTACATGTGATGCAAGAGAGATTTCAAATACATGGTTTAATGTAAAAAAAATGCGAGCAAGCTGACCAACCACATCAAAGAACAGCATTAAACAAACAAGATAGATGTTTTTTTTTCCCTGAGAAACTAAAATTTGCGAATGAGAAGAGAAAGTGTTCAAAAGATTTTACGCAATAGTTAAATTTAGTGATATTACATCAGCTAATCCCCTCAACTCGTGTCGAGTATTTTCATATCCAGTTCAGATGCAGAAGACTCTGACAATCATCAAATTTTGAGATAAAACTAAAGTACAATTCTCCTGATTCTCTACTATGAAAACAATAAAATATGACCTATGATCCTCTAATTCAAGCAACACACAATATATCAAAGTAATTATATAATGCTGAATTGAATATATCATTCACATATAAAACACCAAATGTTCAATTTGCATAACAAAATCAACTTTTTCCATGGAAAATTATAAAAAAGAAATGTATCAGGTTAAAAAGATTTCAATAAATCCTTACCCCAGTAGCAATCTGCATCCACTTGGGTCCTTTCACATGCTTCTGAACCAAAGGAATCCCTGCAATAAATCCCACAAATAGACTCGTCTCAATAAAAAATCCCAAGCAACATAAAAGCACACAAAAATGGTTTAAAAAAAAATTCCTGTATTGAATCCATGTACAGCGCTGAGCAAAGCACCAATCCCAGAACCAGCCTATACATAAAATTAAAAAAAAAATCAATTAATTGAAGCAAAATTTTTGATCAATTCATAAAACTCGGGCCAATTTGAACTTACAACCGCAGATAAATCGTGAAGAACTGAAGTAATCGTCCACTCTCCATATCTCTGATCAATAAAAAACAAACTTTTAGATACCTAATTCCATCTTAAACAAAACACAATAAAAAATTAAAAAAAGAGGAAATTACAGAGTTGGGATCAATGAGAGAGAGACATCGAGGGCAGCGAGCGGATCCGAGGCCGGGGTTTATCGTCGGATCGTAGTGCAAGTTAGCGGATCGGAGCTTCTCCTCGTAGACTTCTCTTGTCCCCATTAAGGTTGGAGTTTTATTTTATTTTTTTCTTGAGTACCTCTGAAATCAAAAAATCATCAAATTGCTAAGTAAAACTGTTGACTATTTTTTGATATTCTTTTTTACATTACATTTACAAATATATATATATATATATAATTATATTATATTAATTATAATATATATATATTTATTATATATATATATATATATATATATATATATATATATATTTTGAGAACAATGCGAGAAAAGCTACAAGTTTCTTCCAATAATACCCTGATGTTTGACTGATCTAGTCTACAATCTAGACATTTATAGACAGAGACGGGGTGATTGCAAGCTGTTTGCCAAAAAAACCCTATAAAAATAATATCTCTCCCCCTCTCCCTCTCTTCATACCCCCCCCCTTCTCTCCCTTTCATTCACTACGGGCTCCCTTTCCCTTCCAAACCTGCACCGCCCCGCCACGACCCGTCTTCGCCCTGTCGCGACCGCGCTCCCTTCCAACCCTGCTACCGCCTCTCCCTCCAACCGTGCGTCACCGCCCTTCCTTTCCAAACCCCCCACCGCGTTAGCCCCCGCCTCTGCCCGACGACTACTCGCCTCCTCCCCGCGGCATCCCCGCTTCGCTGCTCGCCGACCCTCGCCACCGCCTCCCCTTCCAACGCCCGCCTACCCCCCCCACCGGCCATCGGCCGCTTTCTTTCCTTTTCCAAACCCCGCCGCCGCCTCTCCTTTCTAACACCGTTGCAACCGTCTCTCCCTTAGTCCCTTCCAACCCCACCGCCACCATCTCTTCCTTCTAAACCTGCAGCATCTCCCTTCCACACAACGAGGTCGCGGCGGCAACGGCAACAGGTTTGGAAGGGGAGGAGCGTAGTAAGAGAGTGAGAGACGGTGGCTTTGGAAGGGGAGTAGCGTAGTGAA